TAGCTATCATTTCTGTTTTACAAGATCTCTTTTTCTAGATGCCCAGGTAGCAGCTCTGGCAAGGACTGTCCCCTCCATTCATGTGTTAGAAGACTGTATTCTTTTATTTCACATGTGTGGATCTAGGCATATCCCCAATTCTTACACACCTTAGAATAATGAAATATCTTACCAGAAGAGTGCCAAAGAGCATTCTGTCCCACTTTGCTTGGGGCAAAGTTGACTTAATTAATCCACTGCATACTGTAATCCATTGGGGCACTCTAATCTGGAATTTCTAGAGTAGAGAGATCAACATGCACATAGTAACCAGCAGTGAAGGGGAACATCCCAAGATTCACATACATTACCTGAAACCAGGGAAAAGAGAAGACTACTAGAACTTCCATCTACATTATAACTATCCATTGTGGGCATCCAAAAAACCCCAAACAATCATAAGACAGATATTCCTATGAACTTGATGGTCATTCATAACAGATTCACTCAGGAATAACCTGTGCTGTTCTGAAGTCACACTGATAGAACCTCATAATGACAACAGGTAAGAAGTTTATAGAAATTATGATGATTCAGGTGTGTACATTCTGGATCACCAACAAATGTCATGTGAAGTCTCAAATGAAAGCCAATATCAAACTGGTCATTAGTATTATTATTTAATGGATGTGCAGATACTATTGAAGAAGTTTAATATAGACACTGAAAATGTTTTCAAGTCTGTATCGAAGTGATGGATACCAGCAGAGGTGAAAAATAGGTTTTCCTTCAGACAGAAGAATCTCTCTCTCTCTCTGTGGGAATGTAAATTAAACATTGTAAAATAACACAATGTATGCTTATTTACATACAAAGTAAAATGTTAACAAAGAAATGTGAACTCAACCAGAAAGCAGCAAACAGGAAAAACAAGCCATCAATATTAATATGATATATGCTATCAAGTGCCAGCAATATCCCTCTGCCATGTATACTGGTCAAACCTGACAGTCTCTGCAACAAAGGATAAATGGACACAAATCAGACATCAGGAATGGTAACTTACATAAACCTATAGGGAATATTTTAACCTCCATGGAAATTTCAATAATGGACTTAAAAGTAGCCATTCTTCTACACAAGAATTTTATCATCAGTTATAAAGGGAGACATCTGAATTGGAGTTCACTTACAAGTTTAACATTATCAATTTAAGCTTGAAGAAAGATCTTAACTCGTTAATGCACTACAAAACTTCCCTTCCTTTGATATTCGCATTTCCAAATCACATGCTATGAATCACATCCAGGTTCACTTAATTAGCTTTGTTATCACTGGTCCTACAATTGACAGGGAATTTCTTTAGTTGTTATATATACCCTGGATTCTGTAATTTCTACTCAATCTCATCTGATGAAGCGAAATACAGGACTATGTAGCACTTTAAAGACTAACAAGATGGTTTATTAGATGATGAGCTTTCGTGAGGAAGTGTGTCTGGCCCACGAAAGCTCATCATCTAATAAACCATCTTGTTAGTCTTTAAAGTGCTACATAGTCCTGTATTTCGCTTCAGGTACACCAGACTAACACGGCTACATTTCTATCACTCATCTGATGAAGTGAGTTTTGCCCCCGAAAGATCATGACTTAATAAATGTGTTAGTCTCTAAGGTGCCACAAGACTGGTTATTGGCTGTTATCCTATCTCTTTGAACAGACAATGAACTTTGGAGATATAGGTAGCAGGCAAAGACCCAAGGAAATAAATGGGCAATGCATTTGCGTTCATGAAAACGGGATATCAACCAACCTTGCATGATAATGCTACAGTTGATTTTGGGTGAGAAACTGCTTTAGAGATTAACTTGTTTATTAAATGTAGTCCTTATAAAGCATGTTATGATTTTGTTTTATAGACACTTTTCTAATATGCTTACTCCCTACATGCTCCATCTCTTGTCTGATATTCTTGTTTTCACTATAAATATACGTCAGTGGTGCTGTGGTGTTACACATCATCCTAGTCCTGAGATGAATCTTACAAGTTGGTGTGTATATTGTTCCTTTGGGGACAGCAGACCTGGTATTTCTGTGTGTGTTCAGTGTATAAGGGGCACTACTAAGGATGTAAAAGGTTACCTGTTAAACCAGTGGTCACCAAGGAGTAGATCGGGATTTAATGGTAGATCTTGGAGCCTGACAGGTGATCCCAACTGGTCTGGCCAAAAGGCTATCAAGCACAGCACTTCAGCTGCCCTGCTCCCTCCTTCCCCCCTCCCCCCCACACCTACTGCTGCACATCTCCTGCCCTTTGCCTTGAAGCTGTCCCCTCAGGAGCCAGGTCCTGCTCGCCCTTTGCCTTGGAGCTGTCCCCTCAGGAGTCTCCTGCTCTCTGTGCAGGGCAGAGGAAGGAGAGGAGAGGTTCTGATGTCAGGATACAGGGTGGGAGAGGGAGCACCTTATCTCCACAGAGCAAAGTTAGGGTACAACAGGACTTGGGATAGAGTTTGCTGGCTGCTTTTGGGAGTGGTGCAGAGCCAGGATGGGGTGAGCCTGCCTTTGCCCCACTGTATCACCACCCAGGAGCCACCAGAGATAAGCAGGGCCCTGCTGGGTACCCACATCCTGAAAACCTACCCCAACCTACCCGTCCTGCACCTCAAGCACCCCAGCATCCAAATGCCCTCCCAGAACCTGCACCTAGAATCCCCTCTGCCTGCCCCAAACTCAGCTAAGAGCCCCTTCCACACTCCAAATTCCTTAATCCAAGACCAGAGCCTGCACCCCAACTCTCTACCCCTGCTTGGTGAAAGTGAAGGATGGTGCTGGAGGGACGGAGGATGGAATGAGCAGGGGCAGGGCCTCGGCTACAGAGAAGGGTCACAAAGGAGGTGGGGAAGAGTATTTGGGTTTGAGGTAGATCTTTGATTGCATTTAAATTCAAAAAGTGATCTTGTGCTTAAAAAGGCTGGAGACCACAGTGTTAACGGATTACCTGGTAAGCAGTAGCCTTACTGACATGCTTACCCATAACCGGTTAACCAGAGGTAGGACCCTGGCTGGCTGGCGGATCCCAGTTAAACAATTAAAATTATGATTTAATCGGTTAACTTTTTGAAGGGGTATTTACATCCCTAGACAACACAAGGGAATACCTGGGACTCAGGGACTGGGTGAACTTATTGTTAACCTCCAAAGCAAGGTTCCCTGTTTGATTTGGTGGTAAGGAGTCCGTTACCAGTACTCCTTCCTGTAGTTTGTTTGTTAGCACATGAATGCATATTGATTAAAGTTCCTTTGGGTCTGATAAGTTTAAACCAGATGATGTCTTTAATGTAGAGTGCTAACCCTGCTTCTTTCACCTATTCTTGTCTTCTTAGACAGGTATTAACAAGTGACTTAACATTGCAACCATGCAAATTTCTTTTCAGTGAGAAATTTCTTCTCAACTATGAAAAATTTCCAATTCCCTGTTTGTTACTCAGAATATTAACAAAGTTATATAAGCCATTGAAAACATTCTTTCAACTGAACCAATTCATTTCATAGAATCATAGAACTGTAGAGCTGGAAGAGACCTCAGAAGGTCATTGAGTCCAGCCCCCTGCTCTAGGCAGGACCAATTCCAATTAAATCAACCCGGCCAGGGCTTTGTCGAGCCGAGACTTAAACACCTCTAGGGATGGAGACTCCACTACTTCCCTAGGTAACCCATTCCATTGCTTCACTACCCTCTTAGTGAAATAGTTTTTCCTAATATCCAGTCTGGACCTCTCCCACCACAACTTGAGCCCATTGCTCCTTGTTCTGCCATCTGTCCCTACGGAGACCAGCCTCTCTCCATCCTCTTTTGTGACATTCCAAGTTTAAGTTTATACCAGACTTACCTACTTACCACCCTCCCCATTGTATTGGTAATTTAACAGCCTTCGGGCTAATTCAGCTAGTATCCAACAGAGAACATTAGCATCCACCTATTCCAGGGAGATGCTAGCTGTCCCAGTCATACAGCCTCCTCTCCCACTGGAGTGCATAATCAAAGCTCCACATAACCAAAGCCTAAAATTTTATACCAGACAAGCAGCCAATATTTAATCTCCAGTATTTTCTGGCTTCTACTACTTAATGTTTATGCACCATTGTGCTGTGTACTGTACAATATTTAGCCGCCCCTAGGTGCTACTATCTACTATATATTTGAGAGAGTATGTCTTTTCATTCAAAAGCTAGGACCACCAAATTTGGCATACTGTTTCCTCTTGTAAAACGTAAAGCAAGGTAAGAATTTGGTTGTGCCAGGAAAACAGGATGTGCCTGCAATGGGTTTGCTTTTCATAAAACCAAACAGAAAAGAGACACACTCACCAAATCAAGTATAGTTATCAAAATGGACATAACTGAGCTAATGTTGAAAGAGGGCTCAGGGCAGGAGCACAGAGTGCAACCTCTGCCAGTGCACCTCATCTCCCACACCAGCACAGTTCTGCTGCAGCAGTTCCGTTCTGGGCAGCCGGAAAACCATGCTTCTTCCCGAGCTGTGGAAGCTCTATGCTGGGACCATGAGAAGGGATACCTCACCTCCTCCCACTCCAGCCATATTTGCTCCATGCTGGAGCCAGAGGAAGGGGCCACCTCCCCCTCTGGCCATGTACCTAACCCAAATGTGCCCCAAAGCTACTGCTGCCAGGAGATAGGTGGTCCTTTCGTGTCCCCTACCAAGCCTAACCTGGACCTGTCCCCACCAGAAGACATGCACTTCTCCATGGCTGCTTCAGCAGGCACAGCGAGGAGGGATGCTTCTTACCGGACCCCGGGCTGTTGCGGAGGGAGAGCTGGGATAGTCCTTTCTCCCCAGGTCAGTCTGCATACTAAACCCTTCATCCTCTGCCCAACTCAATGATTCAAGTGAAGCACATAGACTTTCATTTTATTTTCCAACAAACAAAAATGAATTGAGCAATGCAAGCTAAATCTTCTAACAGCAAATATTATTATCAATAAGAGCAAAGACTCAGGCTTTTATTTTCACTATTGCCTAAAGTACTTGTGAGTTATGAAGAAAGAGCTATGGCTTCTCTAAATATCAAAGTGTTAAAGATCTTTTTTTGTGCTAATGGGGGCCAGCCCCCAAAATGATTTGCAAATGTCCGAATGAATAAAAGCTTTAACATTCAGAAAATTAGCTCAGCAGGTCAGAGGACTGTAAACAGTAATTCTTGAAATGTCCTGACATACAGCTTCCAACAAGTGAGGCGATCCTGAAATAAAACCCAGCGACTTCTATGGAGAGTGACTAAAGGCGGCGCTAAGGTGTCTGACGTGAGACTTGTCCGACGCTCATG